TCGGAAGACTACAAAGGCACTATAAAACTAGAGTCCATTTCACATTTACCATCTATGCCCACATGCACCATCCTGATGCCATAAATACTCACTAGCTCACCAAAATTCACCAGCTAGATATTAGACCCCAAGAATTGCACCATTTATTGGTTAGCCTTTTAAAAAAACATAAAACTACAAAGTGCTTGTGACCTGTATTTAAGTATTCACGTCTTAACTAGGAGTCAATCAGCTTGGGGCTGAAAGGTAATTTTAGGTGTAGGAGTGTAGAGTGTCTCAAACTAGTGAATTTCCCACAGGATGAATAAACTTTCTGTCTAAAGTTGTCTTTCTGTCTGTCTGTGTGTTTGCTGTAGCTGCTCTTTCAACCCTTCATTTATCTTCCGGTCTGTTTCTCTTTCCTCCTACCTGCTTCTGTCTCTGCTTCTCCATCTGTCAGTCTTCCTGGAGATTATTTTCCTGTCTGCCTTGATAGTTGCCTGGCTCCTTTCCTTGCCACCTGGCTGTTTAATTTAATGACTGCAGTCCTGTTACATAACAAGCACACCTATAATAACTACAGTTTAACCACATCATCTGTTTGTGTTTGTGTGTTTCTGTGCTATTGGTTGCATATATTGTTTGCTGTGTGTGTCCCAGTACATATCATCAGCCTATGTGTGTGTGTGTGTGCATGTCTGTGTGCTTTTCCAGTTGGAAGCAAATAGTGGAGCTGGCAAGTTAACATCCTATCAGCCAAACGCCCACACAGGCTCTGGCCGTAGATAAATGAATCGGAAACGCTTCCAAACACAGATAAAAATCCGAGCTACTGCAGCGGGTTGTGTTGCTGGTTTTAGATCAATCTGAGAATGGGGAGTTTTCCTCTTGTTTGGAAAAAATATACGACATACATCTGTTTTCATTTGAAGTGGAAATCTCATTTGTATTTTTTAGACTTTTTTTCCATTTCAATTTTTATGAATGCTAAGAAATCATAGAAGTCAACATGAGTCCCTAAAGATAACACCAGGTCTGTTTGTCATAGTATATTAATGCAGAAATATAGACTTTATTATGATCCTGATAATAATATATTTTATGTTTTTTATTATAATAGCTATAGCTATAATTATCTGAAAGTTTCTTGAAAATATCTACAGTGTATGTAATTTGGTTTGTAACTAATTATAGAAAGAATAGTGTTGTGAAACACTTATTTTAGTTAGTTCATTGAGTTTGTTCTTGATTTCCAGATTAATTTCCCTAGAAGAACTGCTCCTTTTTAAAGCCATGTAAATATTTAGTCCTCTTGCATTTATAATTGGAAACTTTATTCCCATATGCTCAGTTGTATTGTATGTTTGCTTGTAGACAAAGTCACACTTTTGCATTTTAATAAAAGTGTAAAGGTTACACTAGCTTAGCATGTTTAATAATAGGAAGTGTGTCGGCTGGTCCAAATTTTCCTGGAAAAGTAGAAAAATATTTTACCATTTTCATTCAGCTGTTCTTCTAGCTTTGTAAGAAGATTGTGACCCATTCTTAATCCTGCCTACTGAGCTCTGATTGGTTAACTGTTTCCCTACTTGGGGGGGCAAATGCAATCAGATTAAATCTTATTTGTCGAACATTTTCTACTGGAAAACCTTGATAAATATACCACTTAATAGCAGCTTATAGATATAAAAGATTTTTAGTGCTCAGCTGTAGCCTTTCTATTAAAACTAAAACTTGATTGGATTAATTAAATGTCTTCTTTGTCTCAGAGCTCAGTCACGGCATTTCAGACTTCTCTCTTACTACACTTTACAGTAGAAAAATTAATTATACTGTAAAATAGATAATACTACTCTCTGGTTTATTTTCCATCTATTCAGCATATTTGATAAAGCTGCTAAAGTTGGACTGCTCGGTAAGACTTCCCCTCTCTGTGTCTCAGTATTACAGGACTGCATTGCACGCTACACATCTTACTGTTTCAGGATGAGCCTAATAGAACATTAAACCATTAGACAGATGCTGCAGAGAACACTAATATTCCCCCTTCTCTCTCTCTCTCTCTCTCTCTCTCTCTCTCCCTCCCCTTCTCTCTCTCTCTCTCTCTCTCACACACACACACACACACAAAGCCTCTGGTACACACTGGACCCAGACTATACACACCACTAATGCTTCCTGTTTGCCTTTAATCAGAGCTCAGGTTTCAGGAAGACAGGATGCATTAGTGGTGAGAGGGGAGAGATGTCCTGCATTAGCAGGCTGTTGACAAACCTGTCGGCTGGAAACAACCAGCATTTCTTTATTTTAAGTATGTTTTAGAGGAATTACAGCAGGTATGGCAGAAAGAGTCAGACAGACAACACGTGTCAAGCTGTGACAATGGTTCAGGTCGAACATGTTGTGTTGGGGTGCACATACAGACTTGTTTTGTTCATTCATTCTATCCAAGTGATTTTCTGTTGATCCCCCAAAGAAAAGTTAATGATTTAATTGGCTCTCATGTCACAGGGATGTCAAAGGTTAAGGTGTGTTGTTCAAGGATGCATCTCCAGTTCAGATCGGTACCATTTTGAGTCCTTTAACTTTGATACCTGATGGTACCCTGTGGAGTAGCACTATGGATCAATGTAAATCCATGTTTTGTTTGTATCATGATGCACACATTCCTGCAGCAACATTTAATGCTATTCTGCTAATAAACTGTTTGTGGAAGGAATACACAAAGAAGTATAGCAGTTTTCTTTCACTGCCTTTGTGGGAATATGCTATATTTCTTTGTGTATTCCTTACGAGCTAGCAAACATGAATGTAAACAATGCAGGATTTAAAATATTCAAACAGCTTTGCAAATGTTTTATGGCGAAGGCATTGCATTAAACATGTTTGACAACCACAATTGTTTTAATGAGAGACACTTAATGTGAATATAACTTTTATTTGTTTACAAAAAACTGTATAGAGCACTTTAAAATTCTTTGGCTGCTTTAGAATCTGATTTAGTTAAATTGGAAAGGTACGTTCACATTTGCCGCTGCTTAAAACAGAAAAGCATTTTAAAAAAGTTGTTTATATTTAAAAGAAGAAATTTAGTAGATTTATTGTTCATCCTCTGGGAACCACAAATGTTTGTGCAAAATGTATAATCCATCTGACAAACCAATTCTGCCTGGAGCCATGGGACCACTGGCAACCAATCGAGTCATATCATTGGTTAAGAGACATGACGTTTGCCTATCATGTCATCATCATATGTCTCATCGTGTTATGGATAACAGTACATTCATTTGTTAGACATGCAAAACAGAGGCATGAAGTGGTCATTGTTCTGCTGAGAAAGGACTATGAGCGGAATTCACATCCCATCCTTTTGGACAATACCAGCTTGAGTGCTCTGACTTGTTGAAAATCATTTTAAAAATGTTTTGTGTTACTCTAACTCTTTGTTAGAATATTCATTACAGCATTTCGATTTCTTGGCACACATTTTGCATTTGTGTGTAACCATGTTTTTGTATGTGCAGGAATGCAGGCCAGGAGCACTTCCTGTGTTCCTTCGGCAGCGGGCCCAGAAGCTGCATCGGAGTTAAACTTACCGATTTCTTCCTTAAGGTGACTCCATCATGTTCATAACACACAAAAACACATACATACATACATACA